AACAAAAAAGTCTAGCATGCCTCCGTTATTAAAAAAATTTATACAAATTAGTTTTTTTTTTATTAAAATATTAAAAAAATAAATTACCAATAAATTATAAACTAGTAACTAAAAAATATATGCCGCAAAATTTATCAAACTAAAAGAGTATGAAAACAAAACTAGTCATCCATAAAAATAAGAGAGACACAAAAATTGTATTGTCACTCTTTTATATGAACTAAATCTGTAATTAGTATCTCAAAAGTCTACCTTTACAATCCGAATGATTAGAATCCCCTCCAATACAATCAATCTACATTGTAATTGGCAAAAAGAATGGAATTACTATTAGCCTGTAGCCAAAAGTCCTACTTTCAACAGTCAATAAAATCGACTCCCTAGGAACCCAAAAATCAGATTGAGCCATAGGCCAGAGAGGCCAATGTGAATTGAAAATGATTCAATCTATATTATAAAAAGAAGAGGAATTTACTAGTGCCTGTACCCAAGAATAGATCCTTTCAATAGCCAGCAAAATCGATTCCCTTAAGAATCCAAAAATCCAATTGAGCCCCAAGACACAAAAGGTCATGTGAACTGAAAAACGTACTTAATAAAAGAAAGATATGGTATATACTATGGGCTCTGAGGGTGAAGAAAGCTCACGCAGTGAGCAAAATCGATTACCTTAGGAACCCAAAATCCGATTAAGCCCCAGTACAGAGAGGTCATATGAACCGAAAAAGGTTCTTGATGAAAGAAAGATAAGGTATATAATGTGGGTAATGATGATGGAGAAAACCCACAAGAACAATTGATGGTTAACATGGGTGGAACTTGACAACTGAACCAAGAAAAAAGAAATGGAAAACCCATGTAGAGGAACGATGAAAACCCAATAGCAAAACTCAAAGTCGGGAAAAGAAAAAAAGAACAAACGCAAAGCCAAAATCTCATCACTCTGACGTTATGTTTGGATAAATATTAATAAAGGAAAGAAAAAAAAATTTAAAGAAAAAAAAAGATACATGTACCCCTTGTTTGGATAATTAAAATTAATAAAAAAAAAGAAAAGGAATTCTAATAACCATTATTTGGATAAAGAGTGAAAAAATTGATTCATTATAATAATTTTTTTCAATTATAACCTTTTATTACTTATGATTTTATAGTGCATTTTTTGATCATAATATGTTTGCTATCTTATCTAACCTCACAATTGCTATTATATTAGTGGTTTTTAATCAAGTGAAACAAAAAGATATTTTATAAACATGCATTGATGGATTTATTAGCTATTGTCAAAATTTCAGTACATTATCACTTTGACATCTCATAGACTTAAAAAATATGTTTATTCATATTCAATCATTCATCAAGATCAAATCATCAAAAAATTATAAAAAATTTTTAAATTGAAAGAGACATATGAAATTTACTTGAAAAAAGAGATGACTTTGAAAAAATTACAAAAAAATTATGATGTGATCAGATTTTTTTTACTAAGCTTTTGGTATTAATAAAAAATTAGATATAATAGTCTTTTTACAAAAATAAATTTTTTTAGCTTTTCTTTTATCATCTTTATCCCTAAATTGAGATATTAAAAAAGTGAAGACTATAGAGGAAAGCAAGAGTTATTGAGTTTCTACCTCTTTCTTTTCCTTTAAATTAAAAGCTTATCGAAACAAAGAAAATGTTTTTCTATTTCCATTACTTTCTTTTATTTTCATTTTCTTTCCTTTTCTTCCCCTTAATCCAAACATACTGTAAAAGAAAAGAGAACAAACTCAAACACAAAGACGCATGACATTTTCAAACTTAAAAAATATGTCTATTCACATTCAATCATTCATCAAAATCAAATCATCAAAAAATAATAAAAAATTTTATATTGGAAAAGATATATAAAACTTACTTGAAAAAAGAGATGACTTTGAAAAAATTACAGAAAAATTGTGATGTGGTTAGATTTTTTTTACTAAGCTTTTGGTATTAATAAAAAATTAGATATAATAATCTTTTTACAAAAATAAAATTTTTTTAGCTTTTCTTTTCTCAGCTTTACCCCTAAATTAAGATATTAAAAAAGTGAAGACTATAGAGGAAAGCAAAAGTTATTGATTTTCTACCTTTTTTTTTTCTTTAAATTAAAAATTTATCGAAACAAAGAAAATATTTTTTTGTTTACATTACTTTCTTTTATTTTTTTTCTTTACTTCTCTTCTCCTTAATCTAAACATACTGTAAAAGAAAAGATAACAAACTTAAACACAAAGACGCATGACATTTCCAAATCCAATGAAACAAAATTCAAAATTACCTTAAGAAAAACCCTAGGCCAGAAAGTCACAGACAAAGGTTCTTGAAAGTTGTTTAACTCTCTCAATTGACAAAAGAGAAAACCCATAAGAAAAGTTCTCAAAAAAGAAAACAAAAAAAAAAAATCCACAAGAAAAATTGACAGATTGATAAAAAACATGGATGTATGGATCTTGACAAATAAAGAGAAAAAAAGGACTAAAATAAAAGAGAGAAAACACATACCGAAGAACAATGAAAATCCACACTAACACTAGCAAAACAGAACACCCATCATTATTAGAAAGACAAAAGATAAAAGAAAAGGAGTACGAGAAACAGTATTACCAAAAGAACAAAAACCAAAAGAATCATCTCGATACGTGTACATTTTTTGTTGGGACGACTAGGACGACGGGGCTCATCCGCTCTCCGACTTTTCTTCTTAAGGAGAAAAAAGGTTTGTTGATTGGCCATTGTTTGAGGAAAAGAGTGGGTGGTAGATTGGTCAATGCAGAGAGGTAGACTTCTTGTCAGATATCTTGAAAATGTAGAGAGGCTTGTTCTGTTGTTAAGAATTCTGTTATAAAGCGAGAAGTCTGTTCTGTGTTGTTAAGAATTCAGTTATAAAGAGGTGCAAGCGGGTACCACTTATTTATGTGGTTTTTTTTTTTTCTTCTAGCTAGAGAAATTTTTTTTTTCAGGATACTTTTTGCTATTTGTAAGGATTAAGACGTACATTCTGTTTCTTTTAATAATTATTGGGACCTATAATAAAGATGTCAAAAAACGAAAGTTACTAACCCAAGATCAAGAAAATTTATAATCTCTGACTATCTCCATCATCATATTGAACTAGTTTAAAACTTTATACATATCACAACGAGAATACACATAAAAACATAACAAGGGTAAGTAATGTCACACACACTCAAAAAAAGACCTTTCAAAAGATCGTTTTTGAATAAATGTCTGAAAGATTTTACATGAGTCATATGTCATGTGTACTGTAACGGAAAGGTCAAAACACCAACTCAATTACATATACGATATCATACGTAAACATCAATGACCATCAAGTCGGGAAGCAGCCAAAGAGTTCATATTAAAAGATAACTATAATAAAAAAATAAAAAATTACAAATTCACATTCCATGAGCTGCATACAGTAATTCTCCACAATAATTTCATTATACTTTATACTTGGATATTTAGTTACCACTTCCCAGCAAGACTCCAAAAACAACCCATTAACCAGTTTCATAAACAAGCCTTATGAACAGCAGTAACCTTCTTTCGATTGTTTAGATAAGCATATTCAAATGCATACTTAGTTTGCAATCCGCTCGAACAAAACTTTGTTATCACCTACACCAAAGAACAGCCAAATTACCCAATAAGAAAATCTTCAAATTTTCACACAAAAAGCAATTCAATTATACTTAGTTACTTGCCTTAAGGCTCTCAACAACACAAGGCACGACCTCATGTTCGAGACCCGACTATTCCCCTTCAGTGTTCTCTATGAATACTACGATATCCACGTTTTCATGTCTGATTGGCAATTTGCGGCACCCGTGTCATGTCGCCGTGAACTTCGTACTTCACGAAATAAATTCCGGCGTGCATTGCTTCCATCACTTGTTCCACCGCGTTCGTCACTGATGGTCCAATTCCATCACTTGGGATTAGGTTCACGATTCTTAGGGCTCCGTCACCTGGCCGGGCATGTACGTCACGGCTCGGGTTTGGGTCTTTTGGGCTATAAGGGTTCTCGGAAGAGGGATGGATCTGCGTGACGTGGACATTTTGGGGGTGAGGGTGTAAGAAGAATTCGGAGTTAACAGAACACAATTTTATGAAACTTCATTTATTACCTTACTTTGACTAGTTAGTTTCATATAATAACTGAAATTTTGGGTATGGGTCCCACTTAACAATCGGTCAAAAATTCCTTTTGCTTTTTGACCGTTGGCTTGCTTTCTCTCTCTCTACCAAACAAAATTATCATTTTTCAATTGATTAGATTTGGTGATCGAAGGGTTTTGTGATAATGAGTCGGAGGGCTAGTCATCAAGCGGTTCGACTTGCTTGGCTTCGCCGACGAGGACGAGAGAGTTGAGAGGGAGTCCGAGGAGATTATTGGAAAGTTTAAGAATGCTGCAAGGGAATTTCTCCAACCAAGAAATACAAATTTCTTCAGTGCTGTAACTTTCTTTCTCTTTTTCTATCTGTTGATTTTAATCCTTTCGTGGTTTATATGTTTGATGGCCGAGAAGTGCGGGAAAGTGTGATAATATGAATTTTTATATATCCAGCATGCTTTGAATGTTTTAGAAGGAAGTGAAAAAATGCCGCCGTTTATTTTATTCTAATTTCATCCTCTTCAATGCTGTAATTTTCTTTCTCTTTTTCTATCTGTTGACTTTAATCCTTTAGAGATTTCCTGTTTGGTGTGCAGGAAAATTTGATAATATTAATATTGATATATCTAGCGTGCTTTGAATGTTTTAGCAGGAAGTGAAAAAAAAAATTGCCGTTCGGTTTATTCAAATTTCATATCATTTTCTCTTTTTTTTTTCTACTGAAACTTTTTTGTTTCTTTTTTTTTTTTCAGTTGTTTTACCTCCATGTTGTTTGATATGATTAGGTTTGTTTGTTTGATGAAAATCTATGTGGAAGAGAAATGGTGGCATTTGAACAGGAAAAGAAACATGTGACACTTTGTTTTTCCTTTTTACATTTTCTGGCTAACAAACGCACCATAACTTATTGCATTCCATTTTGTTGACTTCTTTGTTAACTGCCTTTAACTTATGTATCTATGTAATATGTATGTGTATGTCGATTTAATAACCTTTTGCTATCTTTTGTAATAGCCTAGCAAAATGAAATTAGTAATTGATCCTGACGTTGACGGTATGGAGTAGGTTTAGGCTTAGTGTCATTTTTACTCTTTTATCCATGATTTCTTGTGTAATAGCTGTTGCAGATTGCAGCAAGACTAAGTGAAAGGTAGTTAGCAATGGACCGGTTGAACTTGATTCTGACGTTACAGAACCTCAATGTGGGTTGTTATTGCTATTTTTCATTTAATTTTTTTTTAATGTTTTGCATAATTTTTTACTATGATATTTGATCTTGAGTTGGTTTCTAGGAAAATGCATTTCCATTATATCACACAATATTTGTTACATTTCCCTTTCAGTGTTTCTTTCCTTCTTAAATCCTTTAACTTGTGTATCAAAGTAATATTTATATGCATATTTATTTACAGCCTATTTCTTTCCTTTTTAGTAGCTTGGCAAAAATGAAATTAGCAACAGGCCAATTGATATTGATGTCAAAGGTATGGAGTGGGTTTATGCTTACTGTCATTTGTATTCTTTTATCCATGTTTACTTGTGTAAGATATAGCCGTTCAACCATTTTGTGTCTTCTTATTCTCTAGTTGCAGATTGCAGCTGGACCAAGCAAAAGGAAACTAGCAATGGAATAATTGAACTTGAGCCGGAAGTTACAGAACATCCATGTGGGTTGTTATTGTTATTGCTATTTTTCATTTCATTTTTTCTTCTTTTGTATGCCTTTGCATAATTTTGTAATACGATATTTGATCTTGAATTGGCTTATGGGTATATGTATTTCCCTTGTATCAATCAATATATATGTGACACTTCTTTTTCAGTGTTTCTTTCCTTCTTAAATCTTTTAACTTCTGTATCTATTTAACATTTATATGTATATTTATTTAATAACCTTTTTCACTTTTTAGTAGCTTGGCAAAATGAAAACAGACAAATTGATCTTGACTTCGAAGGTATGGAGTAGGTTTAGGATTTTCTTAATTGCTGCAGCCATTGATTTGTTGAAATTTTCAGTTTGTGATCCTTGTTGGTCTGAAAGGCAGGATATATGGAATACAAGGATATGTGGAATACTACTTCTGAGTAAGTTTTTTTCTGACTTAGTTTCTTATCAAGTTATTATCAGTTTTTAATGTAGATGTTTTCTTGTATAATATTTATGCTTTTAATTTTGTCCAATCACATATGTTGTTTTCCTCTCTCTTCACCCTTAATAAAGAAAATGGTAATCTTGTTTATATCACTTGGTTAGACTTTTTTTTTTTGTTGGTTGTATAGCTTTGATTCTTGTTCTTATTGTGCATCTAGTCCCTTTCTCCTATTGTAATTTCCTATTTCTGTGGAATGAGACAATTTTTGTATGGTTTAATTGCATAGATTTAACCATTCATGTTACAACCCTAAAGCAAAAATGATGAAAATGCCTTCATGGGACAGAATAAAAGGTTTTTTTCAAAGCCATATTTTCTGGGTAAGCTTGAATATATATATATATATATATATAGATTGTACGTGCCAGTTTTAGTTCAACCTTAAGGATTGATATATGACATACATATGTGAAATAGTGATAGGGAGTTGAAACATATATATAGCTATTCTAGAAGTTGAATTTTCATATCTAGTGTATATTTTAGAAATTTCTTGTTGCTATTGTTTTAGAAGCATATGGTTCTTTTGACATTTGTGGAGCAGAATTCATATGTCTTTCATCTCAAGAAATTTAGTACGTTATAATTTTCGAAATGATGATCTGGGCTTATACAATTGACATCATCGAAATTATCATCTCAAGGATCGAAAGTCAACTCTCTGATTAAACATTCTAATCATGATAAATGTCTAAGCGCCTTGTGAGAGTTAATGAGAAACCTTCCCTTGGTTTTACATCCCACACTATTGCATTATTTTCTAGGTTGGTTCTATTTCCTGATTTAAAAGGATTGATGTTTGGTTCTGATTCATTGATAGATAATTTAATGAATAAAATTCAACTGTAGTTTCCACTTTTTTAATGGTTTTTTTCTTTTGTAAGCTTGTTGATCTGGATATATATTTATCTAGGGATTGTCAAGCCAGTGCAGCATTTCAACATATTTCTAAATGGACAAGGAAGGTAAATATCTTTGGAAAAGATTACCTTTTCATACCTGTAAACTACAGGTGATGAACTCTCTATGTTTTTTCAATGATGTGACAGAACAATCCTCTATGTAGCTCTCTAATATGAGTTATGAACTCATCTCAATGACAGTCTGCATTGGAGTTTGATTGTCCTCTGTCATCCTGTTGAAGTGGCTAATTTCAAAGGCAAGATCTTAAAGGAGTGTTTCTGCTTATTGTAGCAACTAGGACTATCTCCACTTTTACGTTTTTTTCAGCTGTCTTGCAGATGATGAAACTGAAAGATTACTTAAAGTCTCTTGCATCTTGCACATGAATTCAATTATAGGAAGTCCTATTGGACTTAAAAATCTTTTCCGGAGGTAATTGTTTCATGATTACTTTCATAAGTAGTAACTATGCTATTGCTTTATTTGCAACTTAAGAGAGAAAATCTTGTGGGGGCTTTCTTGTCTTTTGTGTGTATTTGTTTTCATTGGCATTGTTACCCAAAATATTACAAAATAGTTGGTTTCAATTTTTTTATGAGTTTTATGCTTACTTTCCAATCTTTCTAGCATATTTGAGCAAAAACAATCTTTCAGAGGACTGTAAGCGAAACTTAATGGCTTGCAATATTGGAAAATAATATTGTACTTTTACACCTATGTCCATACCTGGTCAATCTGTTTTATTTTCCTCTAGCAAGTGTTCTTCCATTGGAAAATAATTATTTTCTTTAATCCCTCCGTTTTAAAGGAAAATAGTAGCATACCTGTAAATCTGTCATTAACTTATTTGACAGTTCTTAAGGTTCAAACCATACTGTTGATGAATGAAAACCATTGATCGAAAAGAGAAGTACCCCATTGACTTGGAACTTTTAAATACATTATGATTATGCAAGGGAGTTCATGGGGAAAACTGTATTTATGGATCTGTTTTATTCTAATAGTGGAAGTTGGTCTCATCATGTATTCTCCTTGTATTGGCTTTAATCATTTATTGTACAAATGTTGTAAAATTAGACGCTCTAATCAACCAATGGTTAATTTTGTGATGGTCACAGCAAATAATCAGCCTTATCATTAAAAGAACAGTGTAGCTGCTTTAAGTTTGTTGCTCCTCCTAAGATGGGAAGAGGAAGTAAAGTTTGTTGCATTAGTAACAATCTTTTGTTGAATGGCTGACTAAACAGTATACTCTCAAAGTTATAGTTCCTTAAAATACCAAAAAAAAATGTAATGGTTTATTAAGTGTTATTCTAGTACTTGTTGCTTGTTGGACAAGTTTCTCTAGTCACCATTAAACTTACCTAATCATGATGTCCATTCCCGACTTTTAGTATAGCATTCCTCTGTCTTCGAAGAGTCCAAACCCCTTACTTTATACTTGAGATTACCTTTGGAATGTTTTCCTCCTTGTCCTATATTCTAGTTTTTCCGATGTCATCTCTTTTCACCATCGGGCTTTTTGCCACCAACGGGTTTTCGGGTCCCCGGCATAAGTTTTAAGCAGAAGGGTAAAGAACAAGAAAAGAAACGAAAAGAATCGTTGCATAACATTTTATGAAATTAAAGATTTTGGTGTTAAACTTGCAAAAGATTGTAGCTATTAAGGTAGATCTGAACTGTGAGGATTTTGCTGGATTTTAAACTGATAAAGAACATGGAATTCTGGCCTTCTGCAGATTATGGCCTAATAATGATATCCTTCACAGTCTTATATTAATCCGTAAGTTTTGTCTATCGGTGAAAGTAATAGAGTGAAGAAACACAGAAATTGTTGGGGAAATGATCTGGCATATGTTATTTTAAGGAGCTGTCTATCTTAAAATTGTCTGTTCTATTTGAAATAGTATTTCTCAGCTTTTAAAAGATCTTACTGTTGATTATTGTTTCCTCATTTCTTTATCATGAGATGATAGTTACTTGTTTGAAGAGTGGAAAGCGATGCATAGAGAGGCAGTGGTTTGTCCCCTTAAAGGTATATCTCCTCTTTATATCCCTTTCATTGACTTCCCCCACCCAAAAGAAAAAGAAAGCCATGTGTTTAAAAATGCTCACTCATCAAATGAAAGTTGTTTTGGGGCCAATTTTAAAAGTCCCACACTGGGCTTAGTTTTATTGGGGGATTGAGGTTGAGGAAATGCACATGAAGAACTGTACTTTTGCATAGCCTTGTTTCTTCTTTGGTGTCACTTAGCATGTTATGTCACGTGGTTTTATTAGAAAGCATCCTTTCAGATTTGCAAAACTAGTTGTTCGTTATTTTTTACTTTTCTTCTGTATGATTCAACTGGCATAATAGGAAAATTCATTTGACTGCGGCCTCTCTTCTTGCTGCATTATGTGGAACTCTGTCTTCTTCAAGCACCAACTAACTTCTGTCCTTTTAAGGTAACAAGATCCTCCAACTGTCATTTCTTTCCACAAGACTTGAATTTGTACAATATTGTTCATGTTACAAGAGGGATATTATTGTTTATGACTTTCCATTGTACTTGTTATCACTGCTGGGTTGTCTCTGCTTGCTGCCATATTCATTGACTGATAACTTGATTTCTACTATGAATTTCTGAATATGGTCCTCTTACTCAACTTTGTTTCCGTCCTATCTTACTTGTACGTCACCTGGAACTCAAAACTCCCAAAAAAATTGTTTTTCTTTATAATATGAAAAATGTAGATAAGATTTCATAATGTATTGTAGAACTTTTCAGATATTATCTTTGACCTTTTTTAAGCTTAATATGAATTGGTTTCCACCTGCTGAGGCTTGCTTGAAACAGTCTCGTGTCAAGAAGTTAATCTATGAAATCCTGGAGGGAACAATCTCATAGTTCCATGTCAGCTGATAGCATTTATAAATATCCATCCTCTCTCTTACCCGCGCAAAGTGAGCAAGAAACTGGAGTACAATTTATTGACCAGATTGGCAGTTGAGGAAAAACATGTCATGGTGATTCCTCTAATTCCAATGTTAAGCAGGGGTCTAATAATTTTGCACTTTCTGCTGCATCTCCTCCAACAGTTCTACAAGGCCGAAAAGAGTGGGGAGTGGAAATTTTTTAGAGTTATGAGGAGGGAATTTGTGGGGGATTGCTCTCCCATGGAAATTATCAGCAGATTAATATATTATTTTTTATGTATATTAAAAATAAAACTACAAGGGAGAAGAACAAAATTAATGTTGAGGGGCCAGAAACTTTGCTATATTACGTTGCGACAGGCCATGTGTTAGGAATGAGAGGCTAGTTTTCCGGGCGATGCAGCACCCTCTTTTCTGGAAGCATTGGTGAGGATGATCTTATTAGCATCGGCCAATGCAGCCCCGGAAAGCGTAGGGCCATCAGTGCTGCCACTTTCGCCTTGGTTTTCCTTTACACCCAAGTGTCCTTCGGTGCCGTAGCCCTTGCGCTTGTAATCCTCCAAATTCTGGTACTTGAGGTAAGGGCTGTTCTCTAATGGTAGCCCTTCCAGCATTTCATTCTTCTGGCTTTGTCCCTGTGTGGAAGTTTGTTCGTTGGCGTTAGACATGATCGATAATTCTCTCTATGTTCCCTGCTTCTGAATTTACTCTGAAGTTTTTTGTTTTTTCGTTTTTTTTTTTATTTAATTTCTCTTTTTGATTATTATAGCCAAGAAGCAAAAGCACAATGTCCACGAAACTTGCAAATTTCAAGCTAAAGTCGAGCGTAAACCAATGAAGTTGAGTGTTTCAACTTATTTCAATCACCCTAAAAGCCCCATCATTTGAGGATAAGCTCAAAATTAGTAAGTATATAGTGTTTGTAGGGAAATGTTTTTACTAACATTGACACTAGTATGGTATGTTTTGTTTTGTAAAAAAAATTAAGATTGTTATATTTGAATTGACATTAGTTTACTTGTTTTTAATCATGAAATTTGGCTCCATATTATTAAAATTTATTAAAAATAATGAATTAACATTATTAAAATTTATTGAATTTTTAATGAGTTTAGCTTTTTCTTGCCTTAACTGATTTGAAGTCTTTTTTAAGTTTTCAAATGGTTTGATAAATATTCGATTTAACATATGTAATTGAATCGAATATTTTATCAATTTTTTATACGATTGATTAAATTAATTGGTTCATTTTATTTTTTTCATCACTCATAACAAATTAAGATTAAAAATAAACATAAATAAAGAAAAAAAAAAGTCAGCGTTAACTATTCCAATTTGTTCTGTTGATAAGATAAGTAATGCTTGACTTTGTGGTGTGACACTATTATATTCCTTGAAGAAAATAAATAAATAAATAAACTACAGAGAAAGAGAAGAGAAGTTGAACAAGTAATAAATAACTATTCCAATAAATAATTGATTTATTCGGTGAGGATTGATTTTTTGTTACGAAAAGATTTTAAATTCAGAATTTTATTAATAATTATTTTTTAAAGTTATTTTAAATGTTAAAGATTGAATAATTTATTTACTTTAAATTATTTTAAAAAAATTAAATAACTATTTGCCGGGTGTGATCGGATAGCCAATACCATGCCTTCTGGTTGGAAAAACCACAAATAACAAGCTGCAAATGAGCCCAATTCCAATTGGTACAATGTTTAAAATTGTTTAAATTGAATCTAATTATAATTTTGAATCAATTTTTAAATTTATCAATTTTTTTACTTCTACTAATATATCATAAGTAATATTTTTTAAAAAAAGTTAATTGTAATTTTATAAGAACTCAACATCAAAATAAAATAATAAAAAAAGCACATTTTTTCTCTTTTTATCCGATGGCTGAAAAAAAAAACTTCATTTATTTGATCGAAATCCACATTGAAAAATTTACTGTTAATTTCCCTCTTTACCATTTCTCCAACGCTTGCGTATCCCAATCGTCAGTAAAACGGAAAATCACGTCAGGAAACTGAAACAATCAATCGTGACCGTCAGATTCTGTCGCTGAAATCTTATATATGTCAACTGGTTTCTTTACTTTTAGCAGCTCCTTAAATCCATTATCGCCATGATTATCAGTTAAATTCCAATCTCCCTCTTATATATGTATCCCCTCCATTTCACTTGCATTTCATAAGACAAAGGTAGCTGCCTCGCTCTCTCTCTCATATTCGATGTAAAATCAAGCAATCGCTTTGATCGCTCAGTTACTTAGTTTATTAAACGTTGAAGATCTTAAGATAAGCAATTAGCGAGAAATTATTGCTTTTTAGAGAACTTTTTTTTTTTTCGTTTTAGGCTTTCAAGCTTTCAATAGTTTATAATCTTTTGTTTCCTTGATCAAATTTTGCTATAGTTTCATCCTTTTTTGTTAACCCTTTTAATATTTTCCTATTATCTTACTGATTTTATTGATGCCCTTTCAATATACAACCATTAGCTGGAATTTTAAGCAATCTGCCTTTTGTAACAGTTTTTGGAGTGAAACGAGTTAAGTGTTTGAAGCTTATAAGCATTTTGTAACAATTAGATTTACATGGATTTCTTTATACATGTACATACATGCATAATATATATGTTGTATATGTAACTTTATTCATTATGCATAGCAGACTCTTGATACTTCTGATGCTAATGGGGATCCACTTCAGCCATCTGGTGACGGGTCTTCATTAAGTTGTTCCGTCCCATCTGATGAGGTGAAATGTTTCTATCTAGGATTTTTCCTTTCTATTTTTTCCCTTCAGAGTTGTTATTAGAGGACTTGCAATTTGAAGATGGAATAAAATTGAGAATATTTAAGTAAGTTAATGACAATTCGTGCAATTATTAAGTTGCAAAATGGTTCCAGGTTGACATAGGTTGATATTTGAAGTTTATTCTTGGAGTGCATTTTGTTTTCACTCGGTTGTACATGGGTTTTAGTTATTACTGTGGCAGGTGGGATGTTTTGGGTGAGTTTGAAGCTATGGTTTTGAAATTCTTGAACCCATGATTGAGAAATGGTTTTTACTTCCCTGTTCCTCAATGGATGATGTGAACATCGTTCTTTTGGTTGTTGCATTACCAAGTTCTAATGCAGTCGACAGGTCATAAATGGTGCATGATTTGAGGTTTGAGGTTTTTTGCCCATGATTTTGAATATTTTACTTTCTCTAAGATTGGTCTTTCTGCTAGCTTCTCCCTAATTGTGTTTTTATTATATTTTACATTTTTCTTTTTTTGCTTCTTTTCATTGAATAAAAAACTCTTAATCTTAAGACAAAGGCTATTTGGGAGTTCAGCATTAAGTAAATCTGATCTAAAGCTCCAAAACGAAAAAGATTCTAATAAATTATTCTCTTTCTTTTTTGCCATGTCCTAGGCTGCAAGCAGAGAGGAATGATTTTGGATCAACTGTTCCAGTATTGTTCTGCAAACGTATGACCTATTACGCACATAACTTTTGAGTTTATATTGATTGTAACTATTCTTATATATCACTTTTGGATGGTGCAATTCGTTCGGATTTCTTTTTTCAGATCGTTTTCTACTCTCCGATTTGTTGTAACTATCATTGTGTTTCCAGGAAATTCTCCTCATTTAATATGGATATCCCTGTTTTCTTCTTCTACAATCAGAAGCAATATAAATAGATTCTCGACGATTGTTTAAAGGGGCAAGCCAGCAAAGTCAACGGAGCGAAACCACTCAGAGAATGTATTAATGAGGGTCGTTGTCATTGAATAAAAACTACAACAATCAGAAGCAACCTAGAAAGCTCCTTGACAATTGTTTAAAGAAGGCAAGCCAGGAAAGTCAACAGAGCGAAACCACTCAGAAAATTTGTTGGGGGAGCAACTTCATTGGTTCTTTAAATATTGGAGGAATTCACTCACTTAGACATTAAGGCACCAACCACCATATTTATCTGCTCTTTCTCTAGCCAATTAGCACTTATCAAAACCCTTGAGGCTAGTGTTGCATCTCCTTTTACGTCAACAATGGAAATAGTACCAAAGCGCCTTAAGAAGACTGATATTGTGAAACGAATGACGATCCCAAGCAAGTCCCTAAAGTGTTTCCCTCCTGTAAGTGGCAAGCATATGGTGGATTTTCAAGTTAAAGACGCTGGTGGCCGAGACTGGAGATTTAGAATTTACACTCGGAAAAAGAATTGCAAGTACCTGAAGCCAGTGCTTACCAAGGGATGGCAAGAGTTTGTTTGCAGCAAAGAGCTTAGTGTTGGTGACAGAGTTGCGTTTTACATGGAGAAAGAACAAGCTGGCGGTGTTAAGTATCGTGTCAAAGTGGAAAAAGCAGTTAAAATATTTGGAACCGTTTTTGCTCATAAACCAAATCACTGCTAGGCAAAACATAATCTCTCCATTATGTGTAACCTGTAAGTATCTGTTACGCTAATACTTCTCTCACAATAAAGCCAGATGCGTATGGTAGCATTTCTTTGTTGTAATTTTGGTTTAAAATATGGTGTGTAAAATAACTAAATATCAATTTGTCGTCCAATCGGTTTTGATTTTTGGTGTTTATGAATGGCCAAAATGGGTTCAGCTTCAGGCCTCTTTCAATTTTCTATCTTCGCTCAGTGGTTAATAAAACAATAAATGTTGTGACCAAACCGGGAAAAAAAAAAAAAAGTTTAAATTAATCGACGGTACTGTCCTTTACTAAACGACGCCGTTTATCACATATCTTCTGATTTATTTTTGCCGAAAGCAGTTAGAGCTCGCCTCCAAATTCCAATCCGAGGTTACAACGTTGGAAACTCAAAAGCGCAACCCTCTCTTAACAGTTAACAACTCCTAACGTTAATTCCTTTCTCGGCTTTTACAATTACGTATTACAACCCGACAACAAAGGTACGACTTTGTTTCACTTTCTGATTTTGTTTCTTAATATTTAAAAAAATTCAAAAGATTATTATTAATTATTTTTAAAATTTTGGTGATTACTAAACGCGTTACTCTCTTGGTCAGTTATTCGATCAAGATTAACCGAAACTGCAATTTGATTTTGGCTTTCTCTGCTTATGCTAACTATGGCGTTTTCTTGCTTCTTCTTTCCATCAAAGATAGTTCTTTGGAAAAACAATTAATAAACGAAATTTCTAGGGTTTTTAGAATTGGGTTTTTAGGTATTTTAAATTATGAAATTTTATGAGGAATACAAGATGTAATCATTTTTGAAAAAAAAAAGTTATGCTTTTGGAGTAGTGGAATGGCAATTAGTTTAATTTGTGTTATCTTATGATTGGTTGTAGTGTGTAGGAAAAGACCAATTTTTGTTTAGACAAATGAAGCGAAAAAGAGGGCATAAAAAAGGAAACAAAGCTAAATCCAATGCTGCTATGGTGGCTACAAATGAGGAAGCCGTGAATGTTGTGAGTGTGAATAGTGAAGATGACTCAGTTAATGATGAATATGAGTCTGGAATGGAAGTTGATACTCCTTCATCAACCGGAACTGATCAGGCATTGAATGTTGCTAGTATAAATCCTGATGGTTCTGTTGATAAGGCTGTCGGAAAGTCAGTTGGTCGTGTTAAGGTGAAGCTGAAGACATCATCAAAATTGTTGGAATCTGATGTGCCATCGCATAGTGATACTGACAAGAGTAGTCCACAAATGGGATTTGAGAGACGAGGTGGGGTTAATGATAAAATGGAAGATAGTGCTAATTCATCAGCAGAGATGAAAATGGGTGTTTCTAGTAGTGTGTCAAGGAAAGCTGGAAGTATTAAGATTAAGTCATCAAGGATGTTGGGTAGTTCAAATGTTGATAAAAGTGGTAATACTATAGCAGCAGAACGTGAGGGTTCTTTTCGGAAAGATGTAAAGATGCCTTGTCAGGGTTCTCGGTATAATAAGCAAGAACTAGATTCTGCTTTGACGGTATGTTGGAGGTTTAAATTTGATTTTCATTATCATTGATTTTGTTTTGTCTCAATATACAGTTCCTAGATTAATGTTTTTTCTGCCCATTATGGTTGTTTGTTGTTTCCTCTTCCTAGGTGATTAAGAAAGTGATGAAAATGGAAGCAGCTGCTCCCTTCAATGAGCCTGTGAATCCTGAGGCTCTGGGAATACCTGTAAGTATGAATAACAAGCTATATTTGTAGCCTAGGGATATTAAGTTCCTAGCTTTTGGAGCATGTTATTCTTTTTTTGTTTGTAAAAGTCTAGAGGTCTTTTGGTGGTAGATAATTCCTGATGATCAATGCACTTGTAGCAATATGGCTATTGATATTGTTCTGCTAAGGGAGTTAATAGATAATTTCTTAAGAGAAGTTTCATTGTTGGGAAGCCAATGATTTATCTATTTATTGTTGTGCAGCTCCTCGTATATGTGGATTGGTTACTTGGATGATACATTTATGTCTTGCCTTATAAGATATAGATTTAGCGTTCCTATTTTGAAATATCTAACAAGGCATGGTTTTATTTCTTTGTTGCTCTTTTCTGATGAAATGAAGGACTATTTTGAAATCATAGACACTCCAATGGATTTTGGAACAATATGCAACAATATTGAAAATGGTGACAAGTACATGGATTCAGAGGATGTGTATAAGGATGTACAGTACATTTGGGATAATTGTTGCAAGTACAACAACAAAGGTGATGCTATCTTGGACCTAATGAGGCGGGTGAAGAAGAATTTCATGAAGTATTGGACAGCAGCAGGATTATACAGTGAGCAGTCAAGGGGAACAAATGGTGAGGTTTTATGTTGACTTGTGCTACCTAGCAGTTGATGCATTTTGTTTTTGTTTATGCAGAATTTTCTTATTCACCTGCTATTTTTAATTTTTCTGGAAGGTTTTTAAATTTATAAGTATTCTTTCTGGTCCTTGTGTAAATATTAGTCCTTTCTTAAACCATTTTTTTTTCTAAGGATTATTTTGGTATCATAGACATTGCTGTACTAGAAGTGTTTAATTCTTTTGTGAAAGGTGCTGAAGGTGGTGAAGTCGAGGATGGTCCACTGTCTGGCCTGGGGAAGATGCAGATAAAAGCTGGTCAATCAAAAATGAAAAGTAAAAAACATGGGTATGTTAGTTATTTTTGCCTTTTTCTCTCTTCTGTGCAATGGTACTTCCTGGATGGTTCCAATGAATTGGGTTTTTTTTTTTTTTTTTAATTATTGTTATTTGTTTTTCCCTTTTCCATTTTGCAGAAGGCGCCATAAAAGCGATTGTTTATGTGCTATATGTGTCTTGAAGAGACGCAAGAGAGAGCGTGAGGCAAATGCTCGAATGGCTAAAGGTCATAGTGGAGTCCAGGATCTCCAGCAAGAGGTATGCTACTGCTAATTTATTTGACTAATGCTTAGGTTTAAGCCTAAATTGATCAGTATAAGAGTTACCTTTCTTGTTCTAAACAGAAGATTAACTTCTCTTTGCCATTTCTCGAATGTAGGAATCTTCTCCTGTTGATAGTCCTTGTGGTGAGGATTCATCTTTAAATATGGATGAATCAGTGGATCCAGATGCAGATGCGGAGGTGGAAGGTGAAGGGGAGAAGGTGAAGGGAGAGGTGTCTGAGCAGCAGTATAGCCATATAGAAGAGAGGCATGAGGAGGAGGAAGATGATGAGGAAGAAGAGGAAGAGGAGGATGAGGAAGAAAATGAGATAACGACTGTCAAGAAAGATGATGGTGAAACAAAAGAGCACGCACAGTTCAGTGATAGATTGTCAGAGGAGCCTAGTGGAAAATCTCAGCCTGAAACTGTGGAGAAGTCTGGTGCAGTAGCCCTAAACCAGAAAGGATCTACTCCAACACAAAATGAGGAAGAAAGCAAAGCAGTTCAGCAACAGAGACACAAGGTATTTCTGTTCCCCACTCTCCCTTTTCCTCCCCCTCCTCCCACTTTTCTTTTTGTTTTTTGGCTGCAGTTCTAAAATGCAAGAATCCAAATAATGTCTCTTCATCATTACAACATTGCCACAAAAATATCCAATTTGGAACAAGGCTTAAACACCTTGTAAAGTTCTCAGCTTATTGATGTTGTTTCTATTTTGCACAAACGCATTTTGCATTACCATGATATGCTACTATGCATTTAGTTCATGTACTGAGTTAATGGTGTTGATGTAATTACAGGAGTCACAAGAAAGACAAGAAAGACAACAAAGAGCTAAAATGTTGGAGAGTTTCCGCTTTGAAAATCCCATGCTCCTTAACCTATGTGGTACTCTCTTTCCTGACAATCAGAAGTCTGTTTGGAGTGGCCCTCATTCATTAGTTCAGAATCGGGCCTCTCGAGCTAGTCAAATTCATGCAGCCATTGAGAGTTTCATGAAGTAGATTCTTTTTAGGATGCGTTCAATGGTACGTGTTGAAGTTCCTTTGTCAAGAGGATTTGACATAACCCTGGAAAATCTGTTTAGGTAAAATAGATGATTTGTCTGTGCAATGCAAGCAGTCTGTTTTACATCTGTAAACTATTAGATGACCAGGACAAGAAAATCTATGCTAGACAAAATCTAAAATTTCTCCTCCAATCCAAGTCTTAATTCTCCTCTTATTCCAACCTTCATATAATCATGGTCTTTCATTCTAGATATAAAGTGTTAAATATTTGTGTTCTTCATTTATTTTTATCTTTAAGATAAGAATTCTAGGGGAGGGGAGAGGGTGAACAAAATTATATTATTAGTTTACAGCATTAAGCTTATTCATGTCCATTGATGTTTTGGAGGCTAGCTTTGAGAATGGAAGAAAGGAGTATGATGCTGCATATAAACAAAATATGATGATATAGATAAATCCATGATAAACTCACAAGGTACAACAAATAATGATCTAAGATGATGAAAATAATGCAACAGAAAAGAACACACTGCTAACGAAGAGGAAAAGAACTGAAATAAATGAGTGAAAATCTCAAACATCTCCATAGTAAAAGAAGAAAGCTGTAACGATGATAGCAGATCAATGCAACTGTAACGATGACAGCAGATCAATGCAAAGCCCAAACCGGCATATTCTCAAGGACTGGTGGTTGAAGGTGGTGGAGAGAGGAATGGAATAGAGGGAATTGAAGTGGGTATTGTGGGGATAGAAGGCAAGCTTGGAAGAGGTGGCAAGGTAGCCCTCGGGAGAGTAGGCACGTTGGGAATGCTAGGAATTGGAGGTAGCGGGGCAGGCCTAGGTAGCGTTGGCTGGGTGGTGGGCATAGTTGGCATTGTAGGCTGTGGAAGTGTTGGAATATATGGCAATGGTGGCAGCCCTGTTCTTGGCAAAGTTGGCACAGGAGGCAAAAGTGGTAACTGCTGAAGATGACGAGCAGCTAGGGCACCATTAATGCTAGTAAATGTCAGCACCACAAACAAAGCTAAAATGAAGCAATTGAAAGACGCCATTTCTAGTTCCAGTAATTCCAATATATGAAACAATGAGTGGAATCTTAACAAAGCAAAGGAGTGAGGAAAACTAAAGGCTGGTGCTGAGTTTATATACCAAAATCCATTGGGGTTGGCTTTATCAGGTAGGTGATTTTGCGCTCAGCCCTTCATGTATGGTTGAGAAAAATGTATAGATCAAAATTTACAGTGTTGTTAGTTCACCTCCTTGTCATCTGCCATTCGGTAATTGTCAAATATGGTTTGTGGTTGGCTAGAAAATTATACTACTATTACTGTAAGTCAGCAAACCAAGAATGACAAATCTTGTTGGTTCTAAATTACTGGTAGGTTGTCCAACACCAAGTTCTGGACTACAGGCAATCGGTTGGCCCCAATATAGAATAATACCAAATATAGGTTTCCCACGACATCAATCAAAATGACAACTGCATTTCCTTGCATATTTTGATTGCTCTAAATAATTTTTGCCCCCCTCTTTGCCGAGAAAGGTAATAGTTACTTAATATTACTCCAAAAGAAAAAAAGGCTAGGATTTCAGAGGAGGCAATTGCCCTCATGGTATATCCGTCCGTCCAAAGCAGAAGCTCATGTAGGAAACAGCAGCTTAAGCATCTCATGGCAGATCATACTTCACACGTCCAAGGTATAAGCCACATGCAGGGGCCATTGGACTTGCAGCAGTTACCGTTTCTGCATTCAAAATTCTTTCCACTGAAACAATTCAATCCATTCAATGCAAGACCATCCACCAAGAAAGACAAGGTTAAAAACTAGACTAGAGTAAACAATTCTGTACATGAACATAAAAGAGGACATAAAAGGAAACCACACCATCAGAAGTTGTCAACTCTCCAGTGCCAACACATTTGAGAACACCAACAAGCAGTCTGACCTGCATGGGATTCAGCAGAAGACTGAAATATATATACTTGAACTTCTATGTCCAACAAAGTTTATTATCAGTAAGACAACAGAGATATCGAATCAAGATAATTGTTTTTTTATTATTGTCTCCCTTAGAATGTGTTGAAATTAGTTGTGCAAAGTAATCAATTCAACAACTAATATAATGGTCATGAAAACCATATATAAAAAGGCAACAACTGAAACCTGGTGGTAAAGAAATGAGCGTGCACGTGCTGTAACCACATAGCATTGATGCCTTCTCCTTATGCCAAATTCTTGATTTGTTTTAACATTTGCGTCTATTACATCATCACTATTGGAGAATGAATTAATGGGCCGGTCAACCTGAGGCTTAGAGCACGCTTGAAAATCTTCCAAGCTTGAATTACTCTGTTCCTTATCTGTGACTGAGGGAAAATAAGGAGTTGCAGGTACCTCAGAAACATGGAGTTCATCTAAAGTTCTGATTGGTGATTTTGCCTAAACATACAGCATCTTTGAATAGTCAAGAAAATTTGAAAGACGGAAAATTCTGATTATCAGGAGTTAGCAAATCATTTATTTGTATCTATGTCATATAGGCATATACATGCATGTATGTGTATGTGCACATGTAGAGCCATGTAACACATGATACTTAATGAGCATTAGCAAAGTAACCACCTGGCAACCTGCTGCCCTGAAGGAACTAAAATCATGATGACCAACAAGAACTTTGCATGCTTCCTGCAAGTATAAAAATTAAATAATCTTCTTTAGGAATAAATCAATAATTAAATCAAATAAGGAAAAACAATAAACAAATCACCTGCATTGCATGTAGATCTAATTTCTCTGGTACATGCCATGCCCGCTCTTTTTCAAAGGTAGACAAAGGTTCTGATCCAGATAGCAAGCGGTAGAAGTACCTAGAAATTATTTCTCACAAATTCAAAAATCTTACACAATTCAATTCAAGAAATTCAAAAAAACGAATTTGAAAAAACAAAAATGCATGTTGCACGTATGAAGATAAGCTGACAATAAAAAATTGAAGAGATGTGGTGAGACAAAACACATTGGAGAGCTCCAATAGCTCCTAAAGTGATGAGTCTCACATGCAGCACCTTTTTTTCTTTCATATGATGAATTCATGATGTATTTGTTTAAACCCTTAAGTGCCAAGGTCTATTTGAATACAGAAGGAAAAGAAAGGAGATGATTTACATTTAATTTAAAACATAAGCACAAACCAAGCAACAAACTCATCTACTAGGAAAGGGCTCTAGCAAAAGGGTGAACATGTTTTCATCTATTTTCTTCAAATCTTTCAAAAAAGGCTAGATAGTCATATGCCCTGTCAACCATGATTCCATGTAACTAGGGAAAAGTTGGACTTGAAAGGTTCCAAAAGCAAGCGTTAACTTCCAACAAACAATTATAGCACCTATAAACATGTCAGTTGAGTCACATGGTTACAGTCTCCACAAAAAGAAATTAAGAACAAAAATACCTACGTGCGCTCCTGAGCTTTAAATCTGGCATGAAAATCATTTGGAACACTTCGAACATCAATCACCATAATATCACCTTCATTCTTCTAAAGTAAACCAAATCAAACAATGTGTTATTAGACACACAACACCAAGACAATCAAGGTATACATGCTTACAAAAAGAATAAAATTTGGCAATCCTGGGTTGGTGACAAAGAGAAGGTAAGGAAACTTATACAACATCTTAATGCATTAAATAGAAAGATCATCAGAAAACACACCTGTAAGAAATGGTTCACAGCTCTTCTAACAACGGATGGTTCATGAGGTGGTAACTGCATTTTAACACAAAAAGTAATTATGCGGCAATCATAAAACATCCTCAAATTCAATTATTTGCTAGATACTCCAAGTGAGTACGTACAGTGAGGCATCCCTATATGATGCAAACAACAAATATGCCTCAAAATTTCAGGATTAAACATCAAGAAAGTTCATATACGTGTACAAAAGTTCCTCCCAAGTGTCCATCACTTTTAGTCAAAAAAGTAAAGCAAATGATAAGGAAAAAAACCTCCACACTTTTCCAGTACTAAATGGAAAATGAAGCTCAGAAAAAAAAAATAAAAAGGGGGATTAAAAAAGTTAATGTGTAGATAATCACCACTTCACCAGGCTTCCTTTTGCTTATGCGTTCCACATCAACATGGCAAACATTTGACAAGGCATGTACACCAGCATCCTACAATAGGTGAAAAAAAAGAAAAACTAAGTGTGAACAAAAGCAAAACTAAACATCTATGTGTCATTCTAAATTAAAAAAAAAATGCAATAGCAGCCAGGTAGGGCTTGTGGCAATTGAATTATTTATCAAATCCAAGCAAACTAAAGTTGATTAATTTAGAAAATTATCACCATGAGTAAACTCCTCCGCAATAGCATTGACAGTTTGACTTCATAAGGATTGTTTCAAAACCCAACCCCTGTAACCAAAATGTCTTTGTGCACCTTAATTCATGGAAGCAACCCTCAAATTACATGTATAATTAGCAATGGAAAAGATGATTAAAGAATACAACAACAAAATAAGTAAGCATAATTATGAAGACTTACAGTCCGACTTGAGCAAACAATTGAAACTGGCTGACCAATAAATTTATGAAAAGCCTCCTACAAAACCAAAACATCACAATTCACAATACCCAATCATCTCAAAATGAACATATCAAGTTATTAACCTTGCAATAAAATGAAACAAGGTCTATTAAACTAATAATTCACGTTTTTGTTCACCCAAATTCCAAAACCAAGAAAAATTAAATCTTAAGATGCTAATAAGACAGTGCATACCAAATAACATTGCAAAATTCAGAATTTCCAATCTTTCTTCTTTTTTTTTTTTTTCATTTTCATTTCCATTGCAATTAATAGAAAACTACCAAGATACTACCTCTAATACGCCAACGACTGTGCGGCAATTGGGCTGCTGTTGCGAGCCAGAGAAGCGAGTGCCAATGTACTCAATAGCAATTAAATAGCGTTGGATTCTAGGGTTCTTGCTCATGTTTGATTCTTCTTGTTGTTTATCTTCTTCTTCTTCTTGGTCGTTGTGATCTTGGGTTTTAGGTATTTTCGAAGGTCTGGATGGTTCAGGTATTGAATTCAGTAAGTGCTTGGGATTTTCCGTCATTTCATTTAATTTTTTCTCTCAGTGTTTCTCAGCCTCCAAACAAGCAACCCTTCCGAACGGTAGAGTTGTGGGTTTTAGAAAGGGTTTCGAGCGACCCGGAAATGTTTGTTGGGAGCTGGACCCGAACCCATCTTTTCTTTTCTTTTTTTTCTTTTTATTTTTTTTTATTTTTTATATGTACATATACTAGTATTATTACCTAAGATATAAAGAAATTTACAGGATGCTTCCAGGAATCAAAACATATATATATGTAGGGAATTCAAGATCCGTCGTTTCAATTGTACATTTTGTTGATACTATTATTGACTTTACGTCCATAAATTTTCTTTTTTTTTTATTGGGATGAATTTCACTTTACGATTTTAAATGTCATAACATAACCATTATCTTTTCAGGACACATACTGAATCATTTGAGGCATCATGCAAAAAAAGGTGTTTTCTTTGAAAAAATATCGCCTGAAAAATTATTACTCGATCAAGATTATATTTTTGTTGATGCAGAAGGTATTTTGGTTGAGCCAAATGAAATACTAGAGCAGCTTATTCTGTAATTTTAAGGAACAGGATTCAACGAGCAAAGAAATTAAAACTATTTCAGAAAAGAACCATACTCAAACAAAATGCTAATTCAAACTCACTGCTTGCCAACTAAAGAGCCGAATCAGATAAAAAAAAATCTAGAAAAAGAATTAAAAAAAGAAAAAAGGAAGACTGAAAACAGAAGATCCCCTAGCAGATATTAAAGCTGAATGGCTATGGTGTTGGGTTCTTTACAGCGATGCTCTTCCGCGTGTAGCCATTGAGGGAGAGATTTTTGGTGAGATTGATGAGGGATGTTGCATCAGCACTTTTCTTGGCCCTCCTCAAGTCTTCTTCCACATTCCTTTCGCCAAATTTTGCTTGCTTCTGGATACAAAGATTAACCCCATATCAAACTATGAAGTGAAAAACTACAAAATTATAAACATGATACCCCCATTAATTATAAAGTTGTATTTCCATATCACAATGGCCGTTAAGAAAATTAGGTTTGGTGTCAGCAATTTAGACAAACTCTTTCCACAAGTTGATTGCAATAACAACGATGTGCTGGTATGTGTGTGTGATTGAGCGCGCGCACGTGGTGTGTGTGTGTGAGAGTGAGAGAGAGAGAGAGCTCACGGTCGGATCATCTTCCTTGTATTGAAGAGATGCTGACTTGTAATTCTTTTTTGCATTAAGAATCTTCCCTCGATTTTCATAAAATTCAAAGTCATCTAACACCGATGTTTTTGCAGAGTAGCTTTTAAAGATGTTCAGCATTTCTAAGCCTTGCTTGAGACCAATCTGCAAATTGCAAAAAGAATATCAGGACTTTTGATTATATGATCTTCGTTTTACAAAGCTGCATGATGAGTTCATTGAATGATTTGGTTAACAATTATACAACCAACTCATCAGATGATTATGCAAATTTTCAAAAATGGAACATGAGCTAAAAATTGAACAATAATGAGAGAACTGCTTAGTAAAAGATGGTACAGAGAGACTCAAAATTAAAAAAAAAAAAAAGCGTCTGATAAGAGTGGAAATTTGATAAAATAATAGATGTGTAAACTCTGGAGAAAAAAAGGAATAGCTTATGAAGCAAGAGAGGGATGGACAAAGACTCAGATAGTCAATGATGTGTTGCTTAAAATTTTATTTGTCCCTCAGCTTTCTTCCCAATAAATTATTCCATAACACATCAAAGCAAGAAACTAAACCCACAAAGCTCAATGACTTTCAACATAAACAACCATACATGTAAAATGTTGTCCAGGCAAGAGAAGTAACCAAAATACCTCTTGAGTGTCCCTGCTATGAGTTACAGGTTTGTTCTCATTGTTTTCAAGGATAATATGGCACAACTCCTTGTTAGGGATATCTTTTATAACATGCCACTTAATAGGGAAGAAACCATTCCACTTGTCCATTTGCCAGAAATCCATATCTTTATTGAAGTCCACCTTCCCAATCATCTCAGCTAAGCCAACAAACTGTCCACTTCCGTTAACCTGAAATTACAATGTCAAGAAACAACATAAGAATACATAATATGCATGCAGATGGGCATCTGAAGGAAAAACAGCAAGTTACCAACCAGAAAGCAAAAAGAATCCCACAGTTAAGTAATCTGCTTGAGTGTCTAAAATGAATCAAGGACAAAAAATACCATGCAGATTGCAGCAACCATTTATAAATATACACAGAAATAACAGATAAACTCAGCATATATATTTTCTTCTCTGTGATTCAAATATGTCAGCAGACATGGCCCCTACTTATAAAGGATTAAATATATATTGATACAAATCAAAAGAAAAAGCAACTTATTATTTAACTACAAGTTTAAGACAGTAAATCTCAAATCTTTATGGCTCCACCATAATGGCCCGATAAGACTACTTATTATAATGTAAATTAACTAATTAAATGAGAAAATCTGCAGAAATTGTTATGGAATGAGAAAACTTTGATAGATTAAGGAAAATGCCAACAAGATAAGGAAACTCTTGCAAAAGTTGTATTTTCAGCTCACCGAGAAAAAGAGGAAGATCGGACATTTTATACCAATGTCACTTTCTCTAGCTTCTGCTTCATGGAATACTGCATCTAACTTCCTATTTCCATTGGGAGTACTCGACCACACATCGTACTTCATGGATTTGTGGACATCATCCTCACTGTAGGACTTAATGACGAAGAATTTTGCATTTTCATACACAGTTTGGAAATCTAGTAGGTTGTATTTATCTTTATAAACAGTAACTCCCAAGTCATCCTTCTTGAAGGAAGAGTCCAAAGGTGCAGCTCTCTTATAGGCCCTTGGACCACGGGTTAGTTCAGCTGAGTTTTCAAAGTCAACATCTCTGTTGGATTTCTTATATCTATCATTTTGATTCCATCCTCTCCCATTTGTTCTGTAGTTCATAGGACCATTTTGTTGGAAAAGACCCTGCTTTTGGTTGTTAAATGAAGGAGATCTTCCAGCTGGGTAGTATCCCTTATAAGATCCAGCTGATAGATCAGAACCCAAATGAGGCTCCTGTAATATGAATTCAGATAATCAAAACATAGATATCCGAAAGGCAAAGAAATGCAAATATTTGAAAACCTCAATACAGCCTAATGACCTTCAAATTAAACTCAAACAAATCAATTATATCATGAAAGCAGAACCTTATGACTGATAAAAATCCTATAAAAAGACTAGGAGATTTAGAATACAATGAGAGGACAGGTATTAGAAATAAAATAATACAATTACAGATGAAGAAGAGGGAAGAAACTGCTAGCTCTTGCTTCTAGTTTGCAGAGCAACACCAGATACATTGACAAAGAGTAGCGTCACAAAGGGTAATGTGATTAACAAAGTCTGCCCATGTATTAATTAATCACAGTCTTGAGGGAAAATTTCATCAAGTATTCTAATCAAGTACCAAAAAGAATTATTCAAATAAATGTCTCCTCTATAACCCTCTGAATTATATTTGTAAATATACTAATTGAAACCTCCAGAACAAATGCATACAACAGCAGCACTATTCTTGTCTTGTTCAATACTTTGAAACCATAAGCCTAGCAAAAATTACGAACATAATCAAGCAACAGTTTGCTAAGAAAAAGATTATAATCTCCGTAATGAATGCCACCTCAAATACTAACATACCTTGCTTAATGGTCTGTTAGGCTGCGTATAAGTAGATTTCGATAATTTGGCACCAAGGTCACTTGACTTCATAGAGTTGAAACCATTCGACTTTGCAAAAGCAGATGCTGAACCATACTTTACATTTTCAAAACCATCAAAGTTTCCATTTGAAACATCTCCAGCATACGTCGAATCCCACGGGTAACAAGGAATGGCTTCTGATCCATAGGAAACAGGAGGCTGAAAATATCCTGATGAAAAATATGGTTGTTGACCAACACATTGTCCATCAACACCCATTAGAGTCCCAGTTGCATATGGGCTGTAGCCAGGCAAATAATAGACTAAGGAACCATTTTCCGATTGCACAACCTGGAGCAACAATCCAATATAAACCAAAACAATCACCATATTGAATTTGTAATTCAAAGTTATTGGTACAATGAAGATGCAAAAAATGACATCCACATGAAGGCCATGATGGCATAACCAAATTTGCATTGAAGGAACTAGCAGAACATACTGCATGTGAACCATCAGTAGGAAAATAGCCCTTATCATCAGATTGAGTGAATGACCCATTATATCCTGCCAAAAAAAAAAAAAAACTTCCAATTAATATTCTTTTACAAAACAAAATAGAACTGCTTAATTTTATCTTAAACCAAGGTAAACCAACTGCAAAAAAAATAAATAAATAAATAAAGAATGACACATATGCACAATAAAATTAGATCCATATCTTGATCCAAACATACTAAGCTAAAGCCTAAAAATCTTGTTTCTTTCAAAACCTTTATGCTTTATTTGGGATCATGAGAGCAAATATGGATTTTGCTTGTCATATAAACTCTGAGGGTGAATTTACACATCAAGTACAAATTTGTAAAGATTTCAAATACCTTTGTATTTGAGAAACACATATCACATAAATGCACTTTTAAATGGTTTAATCATGATTTAAAAACAATTTGGCATACAAATGTACTATCTGATGGATTGCAGTGATTAAAAATAGAATGAAGACCTAATCCCATTTGCAATTAAACCCATGGCTATGCCGACTCGAACTTTGTGCATGAATGCCAAGTTTCAGTATGAAGAGTTGTTATATAATCTAACCTGGGTAGTAATAATCGTAAACACTAGTAGGTTGATGGACACCAGGCTCTCCAACAAAATCTTGATGACTCTCACCTTTCATGCCAGAAGAAGGATGTGTTGAAGGAGATACCATGGACGTCGAATCAGAAGGCATTCCAAGTTTTCCAGAAGGCTGAAAACATCAAAACATGCCTAAAGTGAATACAAGAAACAAAAGCATTAAAAACATTTCGCTTGCATCACCCCCTCAATACCCCCACCGTGCACTGTTGTAGGTTACAATGAAACAACTTTTCATGAAAAACTAGAATGCCTTTCAAACAAGAAATATCAAACTTCTGTATCACTAATCAGAAGTTTTTTTTTTCTTTCACCTACAATATGAATTTCTTGTACATAAAAGTATAGCACAGAAGTTTTCTTTCTGCCAGTTTTTATAAAAGCAAATGGAAAAGAGCAAAATGTGGCATAAATGTTTCCAGTACATAATTTTAAAACAGAAAAGAACAAGAACCTATAGAGTATGTTGATGCACAGAAATTAGAAACTGATGTTGCTAAACCAGGCACAACAATTGCCAGAGCAAAAACTGAGTTCCATTACAAGACCAATTCAAGATAAACAAACATTTAGAATAATTAAATTATGACATACCACATCCTTCTCAGCCAATTTGGCAACAGCTTCAGACTTCAAAACAGCAGTGACAGGTTTCGCTAAATTATACCGTTAAGTAAAATCATCAGACAATCACATAGCAATCAGAAAAACAGATGATTACACAGTCACAATCAACGCAGGTCAAAGTATGACTTCCTGCACAATATTTGACAAAATAACTAATATATGACATCAAGTTAGAAATTTTCAAGTTTCATCATATAACATTTCTGCTTATCATGAGGATAATTCAGTTAATAATATTAACGAGATTTCATCAGTCTAACAATTCCATCCACCATAACTGGGACATGAAACAAAATTTTCAATCCCAACAAATACTTACTCTCCACTCTCAAACTTAGACATAAGATAGATTGGGCAATCCGCAATCTTTAAGCTAGATAAAACCGGAATTTTGGTCAATAATAGTCAACCTAAAAACGTAATAAGCCATCCCAAATCTCAAAAGCATTCACCAAATCGCATAGAATAAAGGCATAACAAATAATCAGAAGTGAAGCAAAGGATACGATTCTCCATGGTCTTTTCACCGGCCATTATCGAAATATCCAACAATCTTAAAAAACCTAATTGACGTAAAGAAAAAAATAGAGAAACACAAAAGACCAAATGGGTTATTAAGAAGTTAAAGTTGCAGTCTTTTTATGGAAGTACGACGTTGATTCCAATATCAACGCCTATTTCCAATCAAAGAAATGAAAATGCTTAGTACTATTAAGTCATGGTCACAGCCTCAGTGCTTAAGGTATCTCCCAAAATTATTTTATTTTTTTTAGTAAAATTATTTTATTATTAAAAATATTTATAAAATTAAAAAATAAAGAAAAATAAAAAAGCGTGCCCAATTGAACGTTGGCACATAAAATGGGTGTGAAAGGAAAGAGATCCGATTCTTTTCTCATGAATAGACAGACAGATTCTCTTTCTCCGTTTAAGATATTTTTTATTCAAAATTTAAAAAATAATAAATCAAAAATCAAACCTTTTACATCAAAAATCGAAAATAGTCAATTTACGATTCTTGTGGGGGGAAAAAAGTAAAGAAATCAAAGCTTGAGATAATTTGTCGGAAAATCGGAATTTTAAATAACCTTAAAACTAGAAAACCAAATAAATTTTTTTTCAATTTTACCCCCAAGAAAGCTTTTTTTTTCCACCGCCTTACAAAAAAAAAAGCAAAAATTGCCAAAGAAAAAAACCTTTTGATTTCCAGAAAACACCTAAAAATTTCGCAAATTTAAAAACAGAATAATTGTGATAAAATAGAAAATTAAAGATTTACTTTAAAATTTTGAAATCTTGCTTAAGTTTTCAAGGGAAAAGAAAAAAAGAGAAGAATTTGTAGAAGTTAAACAAAGCAGAAACCTAAAGCAACCTAAGGAACGTGGATCGATACGCACCGGAAAACGACCGGTCCCGATCTGATAGATCGGCACCCGCTGGGAAACCCGCTTTTGCTCGAAGAAATACGGAGGGTTTTGTTTGTGTTCTTTTTTGGACAGAGTGCAGTAGAAAGTGAGATAGAGAGAGGACTAGAGTCGAAAGCGAAGGGCTTTAAAAGTGGGGGAAAAAGATTCCGTTCGATTTGATTGGAAAACAAAAAACAAATGGATGGATGTGATTTAGTTCGCAAGGGCAATGATTTGGGAATTTTGAAATTACATTTTTATTTCCACGTGGGGGAAGGGATGCTGTGCGATTCAATTTGTTTCGCCTTTCTAGTGGACTTAGGAGCTTTTGACGATGGGTCAAAGGCCCATTTTATAAGTAAAAAATAGTTCAGTGCTGTGTTATGGCCCAGGAAGAATGAATGTTGTTGCTGGGATAGCCCATAACAAAACAAACTCATCTTCGTGTTGGGCTTGAACCTCCAATTTTAGGCAATAAAAAATGATAATAATTCTCATTGATTCAATTTTTTAAAAAATATATAAAATTATAATTCGAATAGAATTTTTATATGATTCGAATTAAACCAAATTTTGATTCATCGATTTTTTAAATTTAATTTTTTATATATTATTTTAATATGATTTTTAATATATTTAAATAAATGTAGGTATAAAATAATTATTTTTATTTTATAAAAATCTAAAAAGTATATACAATCTAATAAAATTATATATAATTTAATTTAATTTTTTTTATTTTTTACTCACTAATTCAAAATTTGATCCGAACTTAACATATATATTTAATATCTAAATTTAATTCGAATTGAATAAAAAAAATAGATATAAACCAAATAGAATATTATAAATTTGAATTAATTTTCAAATTTTTTCACCTCTGCCAAACATTAATGCAATTTGAATAGGGACATACTAAATTTCAAGAAGTAAAAATATAAATAACTAATATATAAAAGCAATTAAAATTGATTCAATAAACTTAAAATTCAAATCTTAATAACTGCAATCAATCTCCTTTCATGTTCTCAAACTGCGAGAAAATAAAATTATAACAATCGAAGGAACCCCAAACAAAACTATGACTAGTTTGTTTTTTAATCAAGCTATTGCAATGTGGGAGCAGCACTCTGTTTGCTTTGCTCCTTTTGCGATACATCCAAATTCAATGCTTTCCTTTCTTCAGATTTTGCCTTTGAAGTTGGTTTTGCTACATCAATTGCTAAAGTATTAATACAGGAGAAACAATTTATCTTGTTCTCTTCAATCTCCTCCTCCGATGATGCCTCGTTCTCGGATGACTTATCCATTGATGATGGGCTATGGCAGATAGCAATGGGCCAGCAACCCTGCAAACTTGAACATCCCTGAATATCACCCCAATTTTGGTTTAAAAAAAAAAAAAGAAAATGAGTCTCGAAATTGATAAATATAAGAAACTAAAAGAAACCTATGATCAATCTTTAACTATTTGCTATAGAATTGAGAACAAAATTTCAAGCTTCTTAATCTCACCACAGAACAAGTAACGTTGACATTAGAATCACGTTTCGGCATTGGGTTAAGAGAAAATAATGCAAGAAATTTTAAGAAACGAAACGTTGTTTTTTAAGTTCAGAAATGAAATACTAGTATTTTATAGACAATTTTGCATGTTTAACATTTATTTTAATTTCTAATATTAGATGATAACGTGCAAATGATGAAATTAAAAAAAAAAAGGTTAAAAGCATTATCTCCAATTTATTATAGAAATTAGTCATTATTTTTTTATTATTTAAGATTGTTAAAGTTGGATTTTTAATATATATATATATATATATTTATACACACTTATGAGTCCTTATTGCTAGTTATATATGCACGAGTACAATGATGATATAGTTTTGTTTTTTTTTTCTTTGTGGGGGGAGGGGGGACACACATGCTGGTCAATTATTATGCTGTTTGAGGTGCCATAAACAACAATTATAATTTCTAAATTTCAGAGAGAAAATAAAATTTTAATTTAAATAAATGTAAAACAAAAATATAAATGCAGCATGTATTATAATACAAACAAAGGTTACAAGCTCTCTCCAGTTATAGGGCACCCCTTAGAAAGGAAGTACATCCATTCATGTTATTCCTAATTCTATATATTTTTGGTCACCATATCTCCTATTCCTAAATCTAAAGTGAAAATTTATGAGGGGAAAAAAAGATATATACTTTGCGAATAGCAAACTATAACAACAAATTTAAAACACCATAAAACTCTAAAGTGGAAAATTTTTTCAAGTTTTTTAAACTTCAATATCTCATTTATTTATAGGATAACGCTTGAGATCATTTTCAGGATTTTTCTGTTGATAATGAATAAGCGAAGAAGACGAAGATTGGTAGTCGGGTGAGTGACGAGGGAATTCCGATAGCATTTGAACCACTTCTCTCATCGTGGGTCGTTCGATGCTATTTTCTTGCACACATAGCATTGCAATGAACAATAAGTGCATTGCTTCATCTTTGGGCACGGTTGTTAGCCTTGGATCAACAATGCGAATAACTTCTTCTCGTCGACAATTTGTCACTCGTTTAGCCCAATGAACTATGTCTACACCTTCCCCGAATTCACCCACCGGTCGTCGGCCGGTGATCAGCTCTAATAGAACCACCCCAAAACTATAAACATCGCTTTTCTCGTCCACTCTCAGTGTGTATGCATATTCTGCAACCAAAAAAATAAAATAAAGCAGCCAGTGCTTTACACGTAAGACCAAAGTCATGATAAGAAAAATAAATTAAAAAAAAATGAAAAAGATAGTGGTGGTGGTGCAAGTAGACGTGGTCGGTTATCTTTCACGACACTCAACGTCTTGTTACGTTTGGTATCACTGTCAGATATTCTATTATGTTTCAGTTTTGTGAGATTGACCCCTCTCATTCTGGGATCAGAAGAGTTCGTGGGTCCCCACGTTTTCTGATTTCCATTTTTTTTTGTTTTTTTAATTTGTATATTACCCGTAAAATTCTGTCTAGTGTATCTCTGTCCGTTTCTTGTCCGTAGCACAGATCACGGATGGTTTTGGCGCTGTCATTTAGCCGACCGTCTCATGTAAGGAATCAGAATCATACGTCGAAATAACGAAATGTCACTCATTTTCTAGGTTTTTTCATTGTTTTAAATCAAAAAAATTCCTCCCTGATTGATCTAACAAGGACAATCTAACGGCTGGGACTACTACTAGCATGACCCACAAATTTGACAGTTCGACAATAGACCAAGTTAAATTAGCTAACAATCCACAGTACAATTTATAGAATTAGAAAACGTTAATTAATTAATTAATAAGAAATAAATACTGGGAAATTTTTGTACGTACCAGGAGCAATGTAGCCATAGGATCCGGCAATAGCTGACATGCACTGTGATGCGCCCCCGTCGACCAGGAATTTGGCCAATCCGAAATCGGCAACGTGCGCTTCGAAGCTTGAATTTAGCAAAATATTGTTCGATTTTACATCTCGATGAAGGATTAATGGGGAGCAATCGTGGTGAAGGTAGCACAGGCCTTTAGCTGCTTCAATTGCAATTTTGTACCTCAAATTCCATCCCAGGAATGCACCCTTTTTCCCGTGTATTGCTTCCCCAAGGCTCCCATTTCTCATGTACTCATAGACCAAGAGATTGGTTTCCTTGTTGGAACAAAATGCTAGCAGCCTGACAATGTTTCTGTGCCTAATGTTTCCTAGTGTCTGGATTTCTGCTCGAAAACCATGATCATGACTACTAGTGCCAAATCCGAGAAGTTTTTTTACTGCAATTTCCATACCATTAGGCATTTTTCCATGGTACACAATCCCTGCACCTCCTCTTCCAATCACATTACCATCTTTAACGCATTCAAGGATGTCAGAAACTGTGAATTCGAGCTTTTGGAATGCTGTCATCTTCCAAGAATCCGAACCATTTTTCTTGAATGACTTGGCCTTGATTATTGCGGCAGTGGCAAATATTAGAGAGCAGATTAACAGGCCTAGTGCGAAGATTAGCTTAAAGTCCCCAGGGGCCTTTCTGGGGGTACTTGTAATTGCAGTGAAATTGCAAGGATTGTTCAGGAGAGAACCACAAAGTTGAGGATTGCCTGCAAAAGATGAAGCGTTAAAGACAGCAAATTGGCCGGATTCTGGCACCTTCCCAGAGAAATCGTTGAAAGAGAAGTCGGCGACTGTGAGGCTTTTCATTGACCCTATGCTTTTGGGTATGGCTTGATTTAAATGGTTCCTTGATACATTCAAGTAACTCAGGATATGCACATTGGAAATCTCAGACGGAATAGAGCCAGAAAGGTTATTCTGGCTCATATCGAGGTATGTGAGATGGAAACAAGTTCCAATTTCGGGTGGAATAATACCAGAAAGTGAATTTCTACTAAGATCAAGCTTCAATACTTGCCTGAGTTGTCCTATAGAAGATGGTATTGTACCTGAGAATTGGTTTCCGCTTAGTAGAAGGGTTTCAAGAGAAGAGAAGGTCGAAAGTGAATATGGCAATGGACCAGAAAGGAGATTGTTTGACAAATTAAGCTGGCCTAACTTAACAGGTTTCGAGGAGGTATTACTATTTTCAGCCAATGTTCCCGACAGGTAATTGTTCTGCAACTCTGCTAAGTATAGCTCTGGCAAGTAGATGAAGCTGTTTGGAATGCTACCATTCAAGTAATTCTGCCCCAACCTTACTCTAGTGAGACTGTAACATCTCCCTAGGTCTTCAGGAATGGTCCCGAAAAGGAAATTTTTCATCAGAACTAATGTCCTTAGCTGATTTGAAGCACACAGGTCTCGAGGGATCGTACCGGTGAGCTTGTTGGAGGACAAATCGAGCCCTTGCAGCCTCCCATTTCGACCAAGATTCTCGGGTATCATTCCAGTAAAGTTGTTCATCCAAAGCCCCAGAGTTTCCAAATATGGCAAGTCGGCTACATAGTCTGGAATAGACCCGTGTAACCTGTTCATGAAGAGATTCAAAAGCCTAAGCTGCTTAAGATTGACGAACTCAGATGGGATTTCTCCAGTGAGCGCATTTTTTGAGAGATCAAGATTCACCAAGCTTGTCAAGTTGCCTAACTGCTTAGGAATCGGACCTGAGAGTTGATTGATATGCAGATAGAGAGTATCAAGCAACTGCAAGTTTCCCAACTCTTGAGGAATTGGACCATCCAATTCACAGGTTG